TGAAATGACGCGCGCCTCCCCGCAAAAATCGGCCTCAGGGGGAAAGGGACATGAACAGTTTTCTGGAAATTCCGTCCTCCATTTGGAGGACATGAACAAGAGGTATTTCTTGAATGAGCGTTTCCCTAACGGGAAACCCAATAAAAATAGTCACTATGTAACGACCGTAATTGATACCGATGGTCATGATTTGAGAGCTAACACTATATAGCCCACCGTCCGAAGAAGAAGAAGAAGTTGTGGACTTCATGTCGCATTAACCTGCGTAGGAAGCTTTTCTGTTTGGTTCCGGAGCAAGGAAAGAACGAGGAACGGGATTTTACTCGCGCCAGTTTTCCCGGGGTCTTTGACTCTCGTTCCTCGTTCCCGCAAGAAAACGCCTGCTACGCGGGCTAATGTCGCCACACGTAGTCGAGACTTCATAGGGGGTTTGTTACCCCCTTTGGATCACGTGATGTTTCAGTTCTAAAAATGCTGTAGATGTGACTGCTATTTTTTTCCGAAATGTTATCAAATTTACTCTTGTTATGCATTTTTTAATATTTTATTACGTAGGGTTGAACTAGCCTGCGTAGCAGGTGCTTGGAAGTAAAGAAAGAACGGGCCACGCGAGGAAAACATGCGAGGGGAGAGGGCTCCTTCTTCCCTACGTGCCTCCCTCGCGCGCTCAGTCTTTTGGTGCCCATTACTTCCAAGCGCCTGCTACACAGACTAAGGTTGAACCGCTCGCTCTGACCGCCGCCATTTTTGTCATCCTTTGTTTCAGGTGCTCCTCAGTGCGACTATACAGTAGCTCTACCCAACAAGTCAACATCATTTTGTATTCTCTTTGAAAACATAAAATGACCGACAGCTAAAATGGAAAATATAATTCTCAGAATGATATATCTACATTTTGAAGTGTGATCCTACGTGGATGTGCAAAAAAAGAGACAAAAAAAACACTGAAACTGATACAAATTCAATGTGACGAAAAGCGATCTGAAGTTGATATGTTATTAAAAATGCAAGATTCAGACAAAATGTCAGAGGCGAAACAGGAGCTTAAAAAGCAAAGATATAATCTATCTCGTAAACGCTGACAGCGTCCGCAGCGGCACCCCACGGGAATTGTCCGCCTAAGCCTGGTTTCCACGGATCGTCCGGGTCGTCCCGATCTTCTCAGTCATCTCAAATATTGTTCAGACGAGCCGAACGATTATGTGGAAACGCTACTCGGACGAACACAAACGACGCGGACGACTGAGACGACCTCGGTCGCTTGGATAGAGTTGAGTTCTATTCGGACGATCGGGATGATCGTGTAAATTTTGAAGCGATCACATGGAAACGCTTTCAGACGACTGAGACGATCGGGACCATCGAAGGCTATCCCAGAAATAATCACGACTATTCCAGTAATCGAGAATAAATTCGGCCTGGACGCCGCGTGGAACTCTTCTTGCTTGTCGACGTCGCAAAATCGAGAGAAAAGAAAGATAGCAAGCCTCGACGTTCGCTCTCCGTTTAAAATCCATCATCTGCATCATCATGTTTGGCTTGTTTGCAAAAGACGCGTAAAAATTCTATTGTCTGACCCATAGACATCGCTGACGTCTTCGGTTGCGTCTTTTGTCGTTGAGGCGATCGAGACGATCGTGTGGAAACCAGAAATGACCCTAGTCGACGTACGGATCGTCTCTAAATTTTTTTGAAATTACTAGGGCTATCGGGACGATCCCGACGATTATATGGAAACCAGGGTTTACGGGAAAATGGCTTGACCACCTGCTACTTATGACGTCATATCTCGTATCCATAGTAACTGACCATCACTAAACTTTTCTCAAAACGGGTACGAGGGATAAACAAAGAGCTACAGAAAACTTCAGGTGCTGACGTAGGTGCTTACAGGTGCTTATGTAGGGGTGGCAACCACCCCCTAGCCCACCCTTGTAAGTTCGAAGGTTTAATAGCTGACACATTTCCCATATTAAGCATCTCATTCCCATTTCAATATATTTTCCCCCTTCCCTATTAGAGTCACAGATAACAACACGGGGAAAATCAGGTTCAAATAGTAAATTTATTGAATTCTCTTAAACTGGTTAACTTTACTGACTTAGAAACAGATAACAAGCCTAGTATAAAGAAGTTAAGGTGTACTGAACTTGACTTCATTGGCTTCTTTTTACACACTGTTATATTTTATCAATGACCACATTCGTATTAAACTGTAAAACACTGTAAAACAGCCCGACTTTTTACCTTGGTTAAGAACGCGCGCGCGAGCAGTTAATCGAAAGGTGGGAAGGTGAAAAAGGGCCATTATGGGCCTACGAACGTGTGAGGCTCCCGTGCCTCCCGCGAAAATCCAAAGGAGGCCCTTTGGGCCTTTGTATTATCGATTATGAGGGAAAAAAACCGATTGTTTTGCAGCTTACATACGGAGTAGTGCTTCACAAAGTAAAAAAAGAAAAAAATACACCATAAAACCGTGTATAACAACTACTTCTAAAAATCTACATGTATAACATTAATAGGCTATCTCTGAGTCACCCCAAGCTTCTGTACGTTTTTAAGCCAAATGATTGTGACAAAAAAGACTTTTTTTACTCCCATGCAAATGAAACTTATTATCGCAAAAAGGATTTGCACTTAGCCTTGCTTGGAAAGTGAGGGTTTGTGGAACTCGGAAATTGCCTGTTGATAACGCATATTTTACCTTGATTACAAACATCAATTACGAAAAGATAAATTAGCTAAATACAGTAAAACCCGCGACTAAGAACCTGCATTACTAGGTTCTCAATTTCGGAAGAAAAATACATTGTATTTATTTCCAGCAGTATAGAGGAGGCCTAACTGGTAAACTTTAGCCTTACATGCTCTTAAAAACCGAGTTCTTAGTCGCGGGTTTTACTGTAGTTTATGTAATGTTCAAAACACGCGCTGTGAGCGATTTAAACAGCTTCAAAAACGTCCCCTTAGTATTTTATTTCAATAAGAATCTTAATAATGCATTGAAAAAGGAAAAAGCTGTAAAAATAACAAATGCTACATTGGTCAAATACTATGCAATTGATTGAAGAACCCAAGTACACAGCCCCAAAGGAGGGGAAGGGGGGGGGGGGGGGCTACTCTAAAAAGTTTTATACAGGGAGGGCCCGCCACGGGGCCCAATCCTTTCCCGGCTTTTATATTCCTTTTTTGACAAAAAAGGTCCCCCCTACAAGAAAAAAAATGATTTCCCTTTAACATACCTAATAACCCCTCCACCCCTTTAACCTTTGAAAATC